TCCCTTCTCCCGAGACTATCTCCTCCCAGCCAATAACTACTGAAGACAGTTGACATGGAAGACTGGAGGAGGGATTGGTCGTTCCATCTCCATCTCTGAAAACACAGAAGAGTAAGACACCAGACAGCCTGGTCCCCTGAGTCATCACCATCAACACAAACCATGACACGACCATTGGTCTAAATTATTTAGATCTTAAGTGTTACACAACTAATTTATTCCATAGAGTGATCTAAGCGTAAAACCAATCGGTTTACAGCAAGTAGTTCATTAACATGCTTGGGTGCAAAAATTTACTCAAACAAGTGGACTTTTGAATTATTCAGAAATAACAAGACTGAAAAAATAAATTTGCCTAGAAAATTGAAAATTATTGTTGTCCTTTAATCAACAGTGGTTTTATATTAATATACCAAATAATGTATCATTGTAATAGGATAGTTCTGGAAATCACTGCAGCTAATACTGTAGTGTTTTAAACCATGTTCCGCAGCACATTTTTTCAAATTGACTATGATAGTCTATTATTTCTTCCTTTTTAAAGGAGACTACTTCATATTTGACACATGTGTTCAATGACATCATTTAATGAACACAGAGTTGCTTAAGTAATGCTGGATAGTCTAACTTGAAAATGCTTGTAAATGAGAACAGTTTATTTGGATTACAAAATGCAATTGCAAAACAAACACACACACACACACACACACACACACACAAAAAAAACAAAATGCAATCGCATGTAGGAATATTCAATAGATAATACAAGACTTTCCAGTGCTACTCTCAAAGTAGAGCATAATTTTTACTGCTACTGGTAATTCTGCATTCTTTTATGTCTTTCATTCAATAAAACCAATAACATGTATATTTCACACCAATACTAGTAAGTGCAGTCTAATCAAAGGGCAAAACATATTCAACAAATAGTCTGAGAAGGAATAAGTACTTGTCATGCCCATTTATAAAACTACTTGGAAAAAATTTGAGGCTTCCAATGGAACAGTCTTCCATATAAATGTGCTCTATGAGGTAAGCAATGTTCCTCCTCCTTACTACGGTGTCATAGCAAGTTAACACATTACTGCCATTCAAATCCAGTGCATTTAAATTGCAGAGTTGTGTCCAATTTTACCAAAGTAAAAGAAGGTATCACATTTAAGAACAGAATCTGTTATCTCCTTTGATTAAAGCATGACAAGCAGATAATAGGACATTTTGAATTCATATCATGAAGGTGGAAAAGCATATGAAATTCACACAGAAGTGCTGAATGAGAAAGAGACTGATAAAATTAGCTTAAAAGTGACATGTGTAAAAAATATGCATGCACAGGGAAGATGTAAATGAGGATGCTCAAAGAGTTGTTTCCAAAGAATATGGAATACTTTTGATCTGTTCACACCCTGTGTTTGTTAATCAGGTAAGAATAAAACATCTTATTGACATTAAAGCAATCACAAAATTATATTCGAAAAAAATCATCTGAAATTCATGTCATTACTGAACAATGCTTGGCTCGATTCTCCTGGTATACAAACCCTGGGTCTTAAGGTGATCAGTGTGGCTGTAGCATCTCTTGACCTGTTGTCTGTCACACTGGGACACTGTTACTGATACTGTCTACACAATGCAACATGCAGCTTGAAGACCAGCGAGAAGTTTATTTTTCCAGACACAAATTAACAGTTTTTCAGGAATAAAATACTATATGTATCAATGATAGTAACAATCAACTATATTTAGTAAGTTAGGGCAAACAGTTTGTGTTTATAGAAAATTACACGGTACTTTTAGACATTCAGGTTTTTATTTAAATTGAAATTTCAGTTAAGGGAAGTATTAAAAGTCACTATACTAAGTAGCTGCATCATTAAATACTTTATCAAGGAGGTCCAAATATTTCCTTTACTCTTCAGACATATAGCAGTGAATAGTATTATTCACTAACCTTAAAAACCAAAGGTAAAATGATAATGATGCTAAACTGATTAGATGGGATTTTTTATAAACTAAACAAAAATTGTTTATTAAATGATGCGGTTAGTAGATAACAGAATGATTTTTGTCCTTGAGATATAGCTCCACCTCAGGAAACATTTTGTTGTGTTTTATTTTCAATCCTCTTCTTTAAAACACACATTCTGGCACTTAGGAGATGGCAATGTGTCATTTGACCTTTAAACTTCTGTTTCATTGATGAAACCACAAGCCAGAGTCACTGACAGGCCTTTAGCACTTAAAGTTATTTGATAACCATTAAGCCCTTTTTGGTTTTTCTTAGGTATTTTGAGGAAGATGTTACAACAAAAAATAGAATATATTGTGTAAAGCTTGATAAACAATATTAAATTTGGTTAAGTGTTCTCTGAAGCCTCCAGTTCATGTTTGTGTACTGATGGGAAGGCGGTGGTAGTTCATAATGCAGATCTGTTTGGTTTTCTATTAAAGTAGAAAAAAAAACATCAACTATGATTTTAACGATACAAGTAAAAAAAGTGCATGACTTCACTCTTGATGAAAAATATGTCACTTGGGTCTTTCACATTCTGTGTATCTGTAAACCCTCTCTGCACTGATCTAAGAGCAAAGCACAAACCAAATTAAGGAGGGGCCAAGAATCATAACTGATATCACATTTTTTAATGGAGGGAGAATTTCTTGTAAAATATATATTAACTTATATTTAGAGCTATGGGCAATGCAAAAAGATCAACAGTTGGATACTCACTCCCCAAAGAATTATAAAATCAATGTCAGAAATTTCTTTGGGGTGAAAAGGAATGAGCATAAAATTTCTATTTCATATAGGAAAAAAGTAATTCTGTAGTAAAAATCTAACCCAACAAAGCCCAAATGGTTAGAAGGTTCACTGAGAAGAGGCAGATATTCTATTCTCTTTCAGAAGTTGTAAAAGTTACCTAAACTAAGACATGACAAAATTCCGGGTATGTCAAATAAGTGGAGGAGGAGGGATACCTAGAAAGTAAACAGGGTTCAAACCAAACCAAAACACTGACCAATCGCCTCCGTGGGTTGGGAAAGTATTACTGTTGCAAGCAATGATTGAATGAAATGTCTGCCTCCGGGAATAAGAAGGTAAGCACAGCTATTTTAATTAACCATCCAGTTCACGGCCGTGTTCACTGGGAAACAAAATGCCAAGGTATGTCACAGAAAGACCATCAATCTACCAAACCCATTACACTGAAAATGGTACTGCTCACCACACATAATACGCCAGGACAAACATGTCACAGCAGCTCCCTGATATGGAAGGGAGCATTCTGTCACTAACATTGCTATGCAAACTTCCAAAAGAAACTTAATATAAAGAGTAAACATAGGTTTAATTTACATCTGCTGTGTGACAAAGTGCTCATCACTACTACCAACAGTAAAAAGTTATTTTACTATGTTATCACAAAAGCATTTGCTACTTTTGTATCACAGCATTATTCTAACAAAGAAAACATCATGTAAAACATACAGTTTTAGTGTTATTTGAAATTGTCATAGTATTCCGTGTAAATACGGGCTCATAAGCATGTTTCCAAAGTACAAGTCGTATTTACCACACCCACATGATTAAATTTAAAATGGTGCATGATCCAAGCACAAATGTATCTCCCTGTCTTTCACCTTAGGCACACCACGTACACATACACTAACTTTGTGCAGTCTACACTTAGAAGTCAACTACCACCCAGTGGAGAGAAAGCAGATCTTTCCGGAAGATCAGAGGTGTATGCCAGGTGGGGGTGTCAGAGGCAAAGCGGGGGCAACAGGAAATGAAGGTGTAGGGCCTTTAGTCTTGTTTAGACCTAAGCAGGACTGATCATCCGTTTTACGTTTTCCCAGGAGATGAAATGTTTCTCGAGGCTTACTGTGCAGTGCTTTGGGGTACAGCCAGGCCGGGAGGTTCATTATGGACCAAACATTTCAGTGTTCAAGCTTGGAGAAGGAGGGGGGAAAAGAAGTAAAACTGAAAAAAGGAAGGAAGAAGGCTTGCAGGAGCAGGAGAGAGGGGTTGAGTAGCGTGGGAGAGGGAGAGGGAGGGAGGGAGAGGGGGAGAGAGAGGGGGAGAGAGAGGGAGAGAGAGAGAGAGAACACACATGTGTGAGTGACAGGGACAGCGTGTAGAGCAGAAGACTGCATCTTCTAAACAGTGAGAGAATCTGAAGGTGGAAGCGGTTCTGGAGCTTGGAAGTCCCAGCGCGTGTGCGGCTGGGAGACGACCCAGGGAGTGTGTTTATCTCAGATGGATGCAGGAGGGTGAGAGAGCAGTGCTGAGGGGATCTGGAATGTGCTTGTGGGTGTGACACAGATGGGGAAGAACAGGGACTAGGGAAGTCAGAGAGGGAAGACGAGGCAGAGAATAAGGACATGGGGGCGTCCTCTGGGGACAGGAAAGGTGAAAAAAAGGAGCAAAGGGAGTCCAGGAAGTGGATCAGGAGTTAGAGTGCTGGAGATTAAGAGGAGGAGGAAATGGGAGGGTAAAATAGAAAAGATGGGATGCGACGGAGGGAAAGAGCAAGGCACAGAGAAAAATGAAAAACGACAGAAAGGAGAGAGGAGGGAGAACGCGTGGAAAGCAAAGAACGCACACTGAAGAAACTGAGCACGAGGCGTCCAAGCGAGAGGGAAAATAAATGGAGCAGTTTGCAAAAGTCGCTTCTGCTCCGGGTAAAACAGAAAGGCGCCTGATAAACTTGTCAGACTCTGCCGGAGCAGCCCCTGGCAGTGACACAGACCCCGCCGCCTCGCCCTGCCCGAGTGCCCGGGGCCCCTGCCCCTCGGGCCACCCC